AAGAACCTAAAAATGGGGCGTGACAAAAAAAGATGGGCGTGATTAGACGAGAAAAATAAGATGGGCGTGATTAGATTAAAAGACAAAAAAAAAAAGATGGGCGTGATTAGACGAGAAAAAATAAGATGGGCGTGATTAAACCTTCTGGAAGTGTTATAACCCGTTTGTCTCCGGTGTGTTTAGAAGCTCGGGTTTCCTTGCATTACACTTGATATACTAATTAACAACGGTGTACACTAATTAAGGCAGCGTATGGTAATTAACGCCGGAAAGGACGCTTTGATTAAACAATGCTCGCTAATTGAACTGCGTTTTTTTTGTTTTTGTTTTTTTTTTTGTTTTTGTTTTCATAATGGAATGTGTGTTTTTTATTTATTTTATTTTATTTATTTTATTTTTTTTTTTATTATTTTTGTGTTTTTTTTTCTGTGATTATCTTTTTTTTTTCAAATTAAGGGAAATAAGGAGATTTTTTTTTAATTGTGATTTTGTTTCCTTTTTTTTGTTTTATTTTTATTTTTTTCTGTGATTTTTTTTTCTTCAAATTAAGGGGATTAAGATTTTATATTTATTTTTCTTCTTTTGTTTTCTTTTTTTTTTTTAATATATCTGATTTGATAAGGCGATAAACACAAGGTTGTGGAAATACCTCCTTATCAATAGACAGACCAAAAAAAAAAATAATAATACATGAGAAATCTTCTTAAATCACCCCCCCCCCCACCCCCACCACCACCTCATCATCATCATCCGATCCATCATCATCATCGCCATCATTATCATCACCACCATCATCATCATCATCATCATTCCATCATCATCATCACCTCATCACATCATCCACCCACACCACCACACCATCATCATCATCATCATCATCATCTCATCATCATCATCATCATCATCATCATCATCATCATCATCACCACCACCATCCACCACCACCACCACCACCACCATCTCACCACCACCATCATAATCATCATCACCACACCACCACCACCATCCACCACCACACCATCACACCATCATCATCATCATCACCACCACCATCACCACCACCATCACCACCACCACCACCACCACCACACCATCATAATCATATCATCACCATCTTCCCCTCCATCATCACACCCCACCTCCCCCCCCCATCCCCCCTAAAAAAAAGTTTTGGGGAAAGGCGGGGTCTGTCTTCGAATTAGTCTGATTATTTTCTCTAATTGTCGACATAATTAAGGAAGATTTGTTTGATGTTTTTTTCTCTTTTCTTTTTCTTTTCTCTTTCTCTCTTTTTTTTAAATGTTTGTTCTTACTTTCTTTGGTTTTGTTGTATGTTGATTCCGTGTGTTGATTCCTCCGATTAAAACCCGTATTAGATTATGTTTTTTCTTTAAGTTCACGGAGAGACAGACAGGACAGACAGACAGACAGACAGACAGACAGACAGACAACACACGGGCAGATCAAGACATTTAACATTTCAGACAGACAGGTAGGCGGACAGACAGACATTAAGTCAAACACACGCACACGCAGAGAGACAGACAG